GTTTGGGGGGAATCCCTTCCCAGTTAGTTGTTTGGAAGCCAGCAATTTCTGACGTACTTTAGCAAAAAAATTTCTTTCTTCTGTAAAGGTGCTAATGTAATAAGTCTTTCCTTTAACAAATCAGCAGGGGAGACCTTGTAATTCAGGCATCCCCTTCTATGAGCTTCTCGAATTTTTCAAAAAAATTTAATTATCTTCAGTTTAAGAAGGGTATTTGGGGTTTATACTTTCCACCTTTTCGCTTGAGTGGTTCAAACCCCCCTTTTCTTTATTTACCCCTGTAACTTCGCAAATTTTTTTTTTCCGGCAATGGCCAACTCTGCCATTTCTTTTTTGATGAGCTTCTTCTGCAGCGATTTAAATCTCTAGCAGCGTTTCTGCTATCTCTTTATCCTGCTTCTGCAAAGCTTAGGACTTCTTTAGATTTGAGTCCTAACTCCTTAGCTATGCTGACAAACTCAGCAAAGGACATTTTGACTGTTAATGATGCCAATGGGATAGATACCAATAAAAGTCACTACACGACGCTACGATAACAGCGATAACTTTTACGAAAACAAGACGACGAAAAAACAAGCTATGTATAACGATACACTTAAGAAAATGTACCGAAAGCACAAAGGATTATCACACACGATAACAAACCGTACGTACAGGACTATTAACGCCACCTGACGCAGACACCTAGGTATTTCGGTCTATAAAATAATAGACAGAAATAACTAAAAGACAGCTCGTAAATTATGCATCATACAAAAATGTTACCTAAATAGAAGCGCTCCTCTTAACCTCCCACATAACAAGTACACCACACAGACGTACCAAACAAATAAAACAGCAATGTAAATATTGCAATAAAACATTACACAATTTACAATTGCAAACCTGTCAATGTTGGACGATGAGATGACAAGTGGAAGATGACACACACACACAAAAAACGCAGCTTCGGCAAATCACTCAGTTCACAGCTCCCATCACTGGTTCAGCTCCTGTGTAACACGGCTGCAGCTTCGGTTCTATGTTGCTGGTGACTTGGCGATTATGTGTTCCTAGAAGATGACAAAAAGGTTAACATTTACAGTTCAACGCAGGATCAATGACACATTCTAGCAATCTTCTTAATGTGTCGCTGGCTTCCAACTGTTGGTTTTGTACGGAACTGTTCTGCACTGCAGTCTTGGCGCCCCAAACTGTTGCCGATTGCTGGCTTTAAACTGTCTTGTAAGGTGCTACTTGTTCTGTAAGGTTGGACTCAACTGTTGTGTGAGTAACGTCTCCCGTTATGTAAAGGCTGGCCCTCACACTGTTGGTGTTGTGGGCATAAGTTGTGAACCTAACTGTTCAGACTGTTGTAAGTGCGGGAGGTTCCTCGTTTACTGGCTTGTTTCTAACTGTTGTAGTGAGGCCCGAACTTTGTAAAGTGCAGAGGGCCCTCGTTCTTCAGTGGCTAGGGCCCTCAACTGTTGTGTAGTCAACTCCAGCTGTTGTCGACTTTAGAGGTTGAGAGGTCCCTCGTTCTTTGGCTTGGCTCCCAACTGTTGTGTGCTGAGTTACACTAATCAGCACACTACCAAGTGTCTACAGATGTAACTTTCGCCCCCTCACTCTCGAAGCACGACTCGACGACAAAAGTTCCGTTACATAGCATATTTATTTGACAGAACACAAGAGGGTATACACAAGCCCTCACATCAACAAAACTGCAGAGACGTAGACATTGATCCCAATTAACATTCGCACATAGTCCATTTAGTCCGCACTCGTTGTCTCAACCTGTAGCGAGTTCTCTCCCTGACCACTACAGCTCCCAAAGGTCTACAGCGTCCCACAACTCTGGGCTCGCCGTACAGCTGAACAGAACGAATTCTTCTATCCACTGGACCTTAATATTATTTCAGCAGACAACCACAACTGACTGGAGACGGACTTCCCTTGTCATTCTCCAAAAGCGCACAGCACATCAGCCTGTCGAAGGACTCCGATGACCGACAGGACTCCTAACACAAGTCCCCTCTAGCACACAGCTCTCGTCGGTATCCCCCCTGTTCTGTTTCTGTAGTGACCCTACGTCTCCTCGCGTCGTCACCCAGAACAGGTACTATTGGAGCATCCCGTCCCCTTGGACTTACTTCGCCAGCGGGACCATACCTTCGACCAGAACCGAAACCTCAACCCTTACTCAGACCATGATGCCTGATAGTTGTACGATACTCTGTCTGTTATACTCGAGAGATATAATCACTGACCCTGACTTGGTCTCTCTCTCTCTCTCTCTCTCTCTCTCTCTCTCTCTCTCTCTCTCTCTCTCTCTCTCTCTCTCTCTCGCTCTCTCTTGCTCTGACTCTCGGACTCTGGCTGACTCGAACTGAGTACTCAGCCCCAATTTATCTCTGCCAAACTCCTGTGGGTGGCTGATGTTACATGAGAATCACACTGTCACGCAATTCAGTCTTTCTCTGTTCTTCTCGTTACCCTTGCTTGCCAACCCCCACACAGTAAACCCCCGCGTCTCCTTTCTCGTGCGTGCACGCCTCGTTCGTGATAATACATTTTCACTGGTCAACATTCTCTCCCCCTCAATACCCAGGCCAATGTTGACACTAATCCCCGTGAACTCACAGAAAGTACTATCATACCACTCTGTCCCTTAACACAGTATTACACTCTCCCAAATCAGCACGCAACACCGACATTATCTTTAACATCTAAACCATTTAAAGTTTTTAATTCACTTTAATATATCTAAGATAGACTTATATACACCATTACATGCACACGCCGTCCATCAAAACATGAACCAGCCACCAAATCAACGAACCATACATCAAAACACGAGCGAGCCACCAAATCACCGAGCCAGCACCAAACCACAAATGGGATATAGAAGAAAAAATCAGGAGCCTCTACCAAAAACACGAGCCACTATCTGGTGGTGGCTCAGTTTTTCCTTCTTTGAGACCTATTAAACAAGAATCCTTGAGGAATACCCTTCAAATAATACCTATAATCTGCACCATACACTGCTAACATATACATCAATTAGAACAGCCCGTACCAGACTGCTAATTACACCTTATTATAACTTCTGTGAAGTTTCAACAAGGTATTTGGGATTTAACCTGTTGGCTTGTCATTCAGGTTGAGATTTTTGTAATCTATGGGCAGAAGCCCAGGGGTTCCCCCATCCATTCAGGTAGCAGCTCAGAGAGGGCGATGGAACGAAACGAAAGTATACACCAACACTTATTGTTTTATCATCTGTTCAGTTTCTGCAGACCAAGTGCAAATTTATCACGGCAGAGTTTGGCCAGTGATCCGGCCAGACTTTGAATACGGGAAACTACCCAGCCTTAACCCTTTCATAAACAGGTCAGTGTTAATGTGTTACGTGAATTACATATAAATATACGCACATAATGTGCGCACACATGTATGCTCTCGCATATACATATACGCATATACATGTGATAGGCTGGAGAACGCCAATGACTGCTGTTCAGCGGCTAGACGATTTTGAATTGTTTGGCCGATACCTTCATTTAGTCTGGTTCACAAAAGCCAAAAAGTATGGCCACTGTGTATAAAAAAGCCAGATCACTCGCCATTTGGGTCTTTTTGACTTCCGGACGGACCCTGCAGGAGACCTACCCAGCTGTTGTGGCTCTGCACATTAAGCTAGCCAGCATGGGTACGGGCGACTGCAGGGGAAGGCCATTTGTCAGGCTGATTTCGCGGCGGTGGTATGTTTCCATAGTTAAATCTGAAATTTCTCTAGTGGTTAAACTTTGTAGTTATGTCGGTGTGGTGTATTCTCGCAAAAGAGATCGTTCTATGGCAGGTCGCTATAATTGATTTGTTAGTGTGGTGGCATATTGAAGTTTAACGTGCATGTTAAATATGTTTCGGGTTTTTGCCATTGTTGAGGTAATCTCGCTGAGCGTATGGGGTCATTATCATATTCCCTTGTTAGCTGGAGGTAATCAGTACTTTAGATTCGGGTCGAACACGTTGGTTGTTGTTAATGTTGTTATTTGTGGACCACGCGGATTTTATGTGAAGTGAAATAAACAGTTGTTGAATGTGGTAATCATAATTCCGGTTGTTTTTAGTGTTAGTGTGCCTAGTTTATTTGTATTACTGCTACATAGACTGTACACAGAAGATCTCTTGTCTGGACTGGAATATTTATGTATCTAGTCCCCGCCTAACGAACTTTTTTCTTAATTTTTTTCTTGGTACTCAAGGCTTTGCGCTTCTAATACATACACATATCTTCTTCTTTCTTCTCCTTCTTCTTCTTCGTTCGCCCTTAAAGAGTGGATATCATTTTATGTTGCTAGGCTGCGATATTTGCACCTTTCGACTTAACACATGTTTGTTATGGTGCTAGGATGTCGATTCATAAATCAACATTCAACATTTGTAATGAGGCAGTAGGTATATTCTTTCTTTCCCAAACCAGGTCCCGAACTCACACAAAGAAAACACATCTGATCAGACGGATGCCTTTGCTAGAATTGTCTGATCTATAAGAGCAGTAATGTATACATGTCTGATATTAGGTTAATAGAGATCATAATGATGAGAATATTGAATGCGAGGTGCTTACATAAGGGAAATTATGTCATTTTTAGTGAAGAATTAGCAGGACATAAACTTAATGTACAGTAAAACCTCCAGAGTTGACCGCAGTGGTCAAGGCCCTTTGGGAACAAGCAATGGAATCAGTAGGGAAAGAAGATTATTATGGCCTGGAGAGAATGAGGCACCTGGTTGTAACCAGAGGGTCTGGCCGGCTCACTACACTCAGAGGAAAGGCAAGACGGACATATAACCAGATTTTGACCGGTACCATCAGTATTGGAACTCTGCGCTGGTTGCTGTGGCTGCTGATGATGAGAACGGAGCACGCATGGGAATGCTCCCAGTGCTGTGATGTCAATTCTTGACTCAACTCAACTCAGCTCTAAAGTTGACCATCACTCTAAGATGTCTAACCGGTCTTACAAGTGGTATGCTTGTGCACTTTGGTGGGTATGTGTATTTTGATTAATATGCGTACTTTGGTGCTTTGGTATATGTGTTCTTTGGTGGATATGTGTACTTTGGTGGATATGTGTACTTTGCCGCAGTTAACAAGTACAATGGTCCGGCGTACTTCATTTTGATTTTAAACAACCAAATGCAGTGCTGAGGTCAGACACTCAAGGAGTCCATAGTCAGAATTTGCGGTGTTGCCGTCCCCCCCCCCCCCCTCCCTTTTTTTTTTGTTCTCCGGCCTTCCCCAGTGTATTTGTCTGAGACAGTACTAGCACAGGTTACTACCAGGTAATCAAGACATAATCGCATAAAGAAACTGACGGAGTTGACCTTTAATAAAAACTTGGATCTTCTACATCAGCGGTTTTCAACCTTTGGGTTGCAACTCTTTTATGGTTCGAACGACCCTTTCACAAGCGTCGCCTAAGGACCGTTCTTAAACACATATTAACTGAAGTTATGATGTAACAACGAAAATAATTGTATGTTAGTGGGTCACCTCAACACGAGGAACTGTATTAAAGGAAGGTTGAGAACCACTGTTCAACATTTTCTAGAAAATGGCAGCCAAAGAAAGACAGCAGTAACCTTTTGTGGCTATTAAAGACCATATTTAGCATCATCTAAAACATAAACACATGAGTACTTGGAGAGATAACGGTAAGGAAAGCAGAAAGGACAGCGGGGAAAAGTGACAAATTTACTACGATGAAGTTAGTGAAGCCAATATTGTTTCATGTTTCAGTCTCGCGTACTTGTCAGCGTCGTCCCTGATATTGGCGGCGTTGTCTTTTCTCGTCTTGTCCATCTTCATCGACATACAGCCTTCAGCTTGCTGCAGCAGCAACCACAAACCAGAAGGCAGCGAGACAGAGACGACATCACTGTTAAGAGAAAACCACTGTAATGCATCACATTACGAGGCAGACAATGCTCTAATGAAAGCTGGGTTTGCTTTGTCGTCCTTCGTACTTTCCACTTGTTTATGTTGTTTGATGGTATGTTCTATGCAGTTTTTCTTCACATCAAAGATTCTAACGGCTGCAGAAGGCAAGGGGAGGTAAGTTTCCCGTCCGTGCGCAGTTATTTTCTCTTATATAGTAACCATACGCCAAGATCTTTCCCTCAACATCAGAATAACATTAGGATTATGTAGAAAGGCAAAGGAGTCGCCAAGGATATCTTTAAAAAAAAAACAAAGACGGTACAGTATAGACTGCAGACAGTAAACAAGATCTTCAACATTTGTCGTTATATTTATTGTGCAAAGTGAGCAACTATATCTATAATTTAACTGTAAGAAAACATGTTAGCGTCCAAGTAATCTGGTATGAGACATGTGGATTGTTTCAGTTACAAAATCAGACAGATGGTACTTAGCAGAGTTTAGAAAAATAATCGTCATTTAAAAAAGTAGCCTCTTGCAAAACAGGAAACATACTCGCCATTTGAACATTAGGAACTATAATGAAAGTAGTTAGTTTAATATATATAAACTTAATTGGTATGTGGGCATAGTCGGCTCTGTGGCTAAGTCGATGCGAACTTTTCATGATGCTGGGTTCGATTTCAGCTGCGGGCTATGGACCTTGCGTTGGTTTCGACAGTGGTATCAAGAAAAACGACCGTCCAGAAAGCAGTGGCAAACTACTGGACGTAAATTTGCCTAGAAAAACCACACAACAGTCAGGGTTGGTTCTGCAACGTCCTGTAATGGATACGCAACTAACCCAGTATGTACGCATAAGCCTTGCTCGACAAGGAGACAAGCACATGACGACGCTAAGTTAACAGAAATGTGGTTTCTCATGTGGAAGTGAACATTACTATTGACTAACTGAAAAAAAAAAAACATCTCATATTCGGCACATCACTAGAAGAAGAGATACCTGACAGGAACTTAAATGGGAAACAATATGACAAAGGAGGCGAGGACGTCCAATATAAACTCTACGACGAAGTACCATGCGAGGCCAAAGGGGCTGGGTTTGATTCCATTCATGATATTCTTGAACCCAGGATCTTCTGTGTCTTAGGCGGCTGGGATAACCGCTTCAGTATGGACTCATAAGATTATAAGTACACGAAATAGTAACACTAATATTTAACAACAGGGCAGGCACATATATTTACTGTCTATTAAAGAAGAGAAAATCATCAGCATAGGAGACCAGGTCACCTATTGGCTCGCCGATCGGGACAGTATTTGGGTCTGTCTCCTTTGATCGCATCAGCACTGCAAGAGTCCCTTTCAGGACTACTTAGTGGCGAGAAAAGTTAAGCCACTTTATATGGCGCACATAACCTAGTCACAATTATAACTTAAAGCTCTCCTATATGGCCTAACGGCTGAACGGGTTTCCTGCCCCCCTCCCCCCCCCAACGGTTGATCCTCATCCGCATGGTGGTACCTTGTGTCACCGGGTGTTTATCGCTTGTGTTATGTACTGTGATGTACAACCTACCTACCTACCTGCGGGGATGCTGGCTCAACGTGACGATTTTTTGTTTCGGTAAGTAAACCAAGGCAAGAGGCGGAAATTAGGGTTGTTTGTCCACCTCTTGCCTTTGCTATTTTTCCAGAACTTGTGCTGTGCGTGCACATCCATTTAACAGGTCCGGCTTATTTGTTTGCAGACTCTTGGTTCCTCACCTCTCAGTAAAGAAAACGGCAGACTCAAAGTTTCAAGGAAGGTCACAGTAAAATATAATTTTATCAAACTTATTTCTTTCGGTCACCTAAGATTCCGTTTGTAGATACTCAAGGGATATAATTCAGGCTAAAGTTTGACTTTAGTGATTGTGGCGTTAATTAGAAGAAATTTCTATAAAAATTTGCCGCAAATTGCTATGTTAACCTCGATGTTGCAGTAAGACTGGCATCTGCAAATGTAACCCTTCTACAGGTCATAGTTTAAGAGTAGTTATTAGTTGACTGAAAATGTGTACACAGACTGACTGACATGTGGATTTTCTGTTTTTTAGTATGTACAATTTAATTTACTAGGTAACAGTCTTGCTATCAGAATAACTTTTTAGTCAGTTAATTATTTTGTTTGACAGTAAAATGTTTATTTCATTAGTTAGTCATGTAGTTTCTTAGTTGTTGGAAAGCTCTTAGATCGAATTTCAAGTAATTCTCTCAGAACGCGGCATATAACAATCGTCTTTACCCGCATAGAAGTGCAGGCTACACTAGACTGGTGTTACCGTTCTTCTTGTTCGTCTGCCTTCTATCCCCCAGTGAAGCAAAGGCTCTCAGCAAACTCACGTTAAGTTGCTCTACCCTTCGCTATTGCATTTAGCTCATCCAATATTTTTAACTTCACTCTCTAGCTCTCTTCTCCATGTGTTTTTGGGTCTGCCTTTATGTCTATGCACCTGTGGATTCCAGTGCAACGACATTCTGGTTATATTGTTCTCAGATTTCATCGTGTATCCTATCCAACAGTGGTTTATGTATAACTCCTTGAGTGTTCAGCGGGTGTCTGGGGTCTGTCTTGTTGTTTTGTCATCCAGATTGAGATATGTTTAATCAGCCTTCAGGTAGCATCCTGAAGGGGATCAACTGATTGATCAGTAGATCGGAAATCCCAGTCCCGGGTTTACTGATAAAACACCATCTGCTCTCGTATAGCGTTTGTGTTTAAGAACCTCTCTGACCCCTAGCTCTCAGTAATCGGACCAGACGCACAGCCTGTGTTGCCTTGGCCCTTACTGTAAGAAACATTTAGGATATCAAATGATATAACGTCGTTAACGGTTCTATACTTATCAGTCCGTCTACTCTTTCTTTTATTTCATTTGATTCCCCCATGACCAGGCGCTGATTCAAAAAGTAACAAACTGCAGCTCTAATCTCAGTATTAGTAGTAGTGGTGGTGGTTGTAGTAGTAGCCCAATGTGCAGTGACGTCGATTGTGATAACAAAACATAAAAAAAACATTTTGTAGGAAGTCGGCATTCCAAAACCCAAGTTCATTTTGTCTCCTTCGTGCCAAAGAACTGCATGGCTGTTGGGTGAACAGTCCTTAACGAAGGCAGTCAGGTCGTTGTAGGGGCGACGCCTGCTGGTGGATTTAATGTCCTAAGTCCCTTCCCCAGCCTATAGTGAGGGTACTGCCGGGGCGACCATTTATTAACCCTCACATAATGCTTCAGGTCAAAATGGACGCTAGGCACGGCCACTTTTTTTTAGCCATGGAAAATTTTTTTTTTTTTACTTCTGCCAGGCGGTGGCCGTCGCATTTTTTCTCCATTTGTAGAATCGAAGGATATAGTTTCGTCGCCCAGCTTCTGAGTTGAGTGCATGGCGTGACACTGCGAGCTACGTGTGTTTTTCGTTGGCACAGGAGCGGAGCAACTATGGGGTGACCCGTTTGCCATGAAGCTGAAACTAGGATTACCAGATTACCAGTAGTAGCAGCAGCAGCAGTAGTAGTAGTAGTAGTAGTAGTAGTAGTAGTAGTAGTAGTAGTAGTAGTAGTAGTAGTAGTAGTAGTAGTAGTAGTATTAGTAGTAGTGGTAGTGGTGGCAGTAGTAGTAGTAGTAGTAGTAGTAGTAGTAGTAGTTGTAGTAGTAGTAGTAGTAGTAGTAGTAGTAGTAGTAGTAGTAGTAGTAGTAGTAGTAGTAGTAGTAGTAGTAGTAGTACATTTCACTCCACTAGGACATCATACAAGCGATAAACACCCGATGACACAAAGTGCCACCATGCAGATGAGGATCATCCGTGGAGAGGTCCCTGAAACCGCGTTCAGCCGTTAGACCATATTTGTGGCCGGGCTATATTGCGGCCCCCGGCAAGGGTCAGGGTGGGGCTTCAAAATAACAAAAAATTGCATGCCACAAGGGGATGACCACGTTATAATGATCTCAGCACAGAGCGCCCACGCTGTACAAGCACGCTACGTCTCATCCAGCCCTTAAATGTTCATTGAAGTGTCTTTAGGTAAAAATGCTGACCATTCCATGTTCCAGCAGCACACACACACACACACACACACACACACACACACACACACATATATATATATATATATATATATATATATATATATATATATATATATATATATTAGGGTTGTACCGAACATTTGCTTCGTATTCGCTTCGGGGCCGAATAGTGGACCGAATACTTGCGGTCGGGACGAATACGAATAGTGGTTAACTTACACCCGTTTCTGCATACACTGCGATGGACTAAAATAACTCTATCATTAACACAATAGCTGCTGTTGTCTAAGTCTGTCGTAGCGGGGGAAACTGCGACCCGGTTGCGTGGTACAGCAGCTGACAACGTCTTTGCCCGCTGACTCGACCGAGGCATTACAGCAAAGGTTCTCAAACAGGGTGCGTATTCCAGGGGTGTCGGGCGAAAATCAAGAAAAGTCGGCTATAAATTGTGACATTATTAAAGAAGGGATGAAGATCGTTAAAAGTTAAAATGTAAATTGTCTTTCCTCGCCACCGTCGAAAATAACCCCCCTCCCCTTGTTTTTCACATTCAAAGTGTATCATACTGCCTAAAATGCAAAACGCAGCTTGCTAAAAATTGTCTTTGCATTTATCTCGATGTGCGACCGATCCTCCATCTGTATTCGCGTAGCTGCAGCTGATAAGTAAGGTTGTGATTACATTTTGGCTGAAATTTTAAAGTGGAAAATGTGGTCTGTACAATAGTAACTGTTAGCCTCGTTAAATAAGTACTTATATTTAAAGGCAATGTGTTCTTTTTTGTTGTTGTTGCTTGTCTGTGTATGTTTGTGTGTGTGAGAGAGAAAGAGAGAAAGAGAGAGAGAGAGAGAGAGAGAGAGAGAGAGAGAGAGAGAGAGAGAGAGAGAGAGATCATGCATTTTTTTCCTTTCAGTGTGTCTTCGCCCTAATTAAATTTAAAGAAATTGATAACGAGAATATAAAAGTGAGTTAAATTCCATCGAACGAACGGCCGATTGAACGATGGTTTTGAAAGAGGCGGGAGCCCGAATACAAACTTATCACAGACATCAGAAGGAGACAGTCGTCATTTTTCGGCCATGTTATGAGAAGAGGGGAAAATAGAACATGT